CTGTGGTCGTGATGATGAGAACTGAGGACTTAGTTCTGGTTTGAAATGGATCATTTTTGAAAATAAACTGTTTCAAAAAGATGAGTTAGTATTCTCAGCGCAATTTAAAGATATAAAAACATGTTTTTAGGATATAACTGTGCGTCTAAATACTGTAAGAAAAATAAAATTTCATGATGATGACGGCAAGTCGTAGCAATTCGGTTGCTGCATGGGAACGCGGGCGGCCCGTGTTGCTGGTGTTGCGACATGAAGTTGCTGGGCGAAATTGTTCCGTCTGAAGCGGGCTTTAGGGAACTGAATTCAAGGGCCGTGGAGCTCTGGGTGCAAGCCGACCTGGAACCATTTTTTTTTCTTTTTTGTTTTTTTTAGTATTTAAATAGATATATATATATACATATATACTTTTTTAAGTTTTAACATATAGATGCATAATTTACACACTAATTCATTTTCAGAAGCGCTTTTATTCACACTCTGTGGCTTTCTAGTGCTTGCAATAGCTTCTCGGTGAGCTAATGCCAGCTCTGCAAAGGGAGAGGGATCTTCCCACGCTTTGCAGGCTGTAAAGCTGTGGCTTGCACAGCTCTAGTGTGTCACACCTCGCTCACTGGCTCCATCGAGAAGCATAGGTACTGCATGAGTCGCGCCACACCGTAAGCCCATATACGGTCGGGTGACAAACCTGGGACCATTTGTCACTGCACTCAGCTATGGTATGGTGGCATGGTCGGGGCATGAAGCAGGAATACAGCTTGGAAACGCTGATCTTCATGACATTTTAAACACATTTTTCATTACTTTTGTGTCGAGTTGTCAGCATTCTAAAGGTGAGAAAGCAAGCAGCAGCGACAGCAAGAAAAGAAAAATTTAAATCCGCTTTCATCAAGAATCAATCACGAGCACTAGAAAGGCATGGAGTGTAATTAAAACGCTTCTAAAGGTGAATTAGCATATAAATTAAGTACTTGTGCCTCAAAAATACAAAAAAACAATGGAAATATAGCTATAAGGATAACAATATACACCAGGAGGACTTAAACCAAAACTACAGTCTGTAAGTTTGAAATTTGACACCTTAAACCACTTGGCCACCACCCAATTTTATTTCCAGGTCGTTCAACGAGGTATATGAATTTTGTTTGCAGCTGTCGGCTGCAAGAGAGATTGCCTTATTTTCATTTACTTTACTATTCGCACCAATTATGACAAGTGATAAAAATAGAACCTCATTTGGTTGGCCGAGGCAATGTGCTTGCATCAAGGCAAACTAGCCTGTCTTGCTGGGTTCATATTTTCTTTCATCACCTGTTTAGGATTCTGTTGTCGCTCATCAAAAGAAGAAAAAGAAACTGACTAATTCTGACTTATTCTGGTGTGCAGGTACCCTTGGCAGTAAACTCTGCTAAATGGGGCAAAATATAGATACTTTTTTTAGCAAATATGCATCGTTTTAGCAAAATGAGCTACACTATTTGAATAACATGAAACAGAACGAGCCTCTCCACTTGGGTCTTTTTTCATCTCTCGCAGACACTATTTCCTGCTTTTTGTGGTTTGTTTCAGACTTTTGTATTCTGTCCGGCCAAAGCATCTGTGTTACACTAAGACCGGGTTCTTTAGGATATCTACAGGTATTCTTCGCAGCAAATGGCTTCCAATCAGGAACACGAGTTTGTTCTCGGCCACCGAGAGCAAGTATTTTCAAGGTGAGCTATTGCCCGCCTATATGAGTTTTGTATTTCATTCCTCTTGAATACCATAACCTATGTGTAGTGGTCTTGCATTAGTATTTTGTTTTCTCTCTTTTGCAAAAACACCCAAGTTTGACTAAGACCGAGTTCTTTCTTATACATGCAAGTATTGGTGGCAAGCACCAGCCAATCAAGGCCAGAAGTTTGCTCTTTGCCGCGCATGGCAAGTGTTTTCAAGGTGAGTGATTGATGCCTATCTGAGTTGTGCATTTCATTCCTCACAGACCCTCTATTTTCTGTCTGTATAGTGGTCTTGTTTCAGGCTTTTGTGTCTCTGTCCGGCCAAAGCATCTGTGTTAGACTAATCTTTAGGATATGTGCAGCAATTCTTGGCAGCAAGTGGCTGCCAACCAGGAACACGAGTTTGTTGTCGGCCACCATAAGCAAGTATTTTCAAGGCGAGCTATTGCCCGCCTATATGAGTTTCAGCATTCATCAAGGAGCGCAAAATCAAAGCCCGGTGGTTGGCCATTGCAAAAATGTTGACTCGGAAGCGCATAGGGAGGAAGCTTTATAAAAGTCTCCACCTGCTTCTACAAGACAAACCAAAACTAAGAATGTGGTTTCCATTTGAAAAAAAAAAAAAAAAAAACATTGTCAGCCCGAATTAACTCGGGGGCGGCACGGAGCAAACAAGCCACGGTACGAGTATGCTTGGTTCAGGCGTTTGTAAAGGTGGTAGATGACTCGGTGTTTTCTAAAAAGAATATTTTTTTTTCTGAAAGTGTGGTGGTCGAACATTCAGGGATAGGCATTGAGTCGGGATGTTAAGGTAAAACTTTCATCCACATGCCGGGATTCATGTGCCTTGTCCCCCTAGCGAGGGGGACAAGGCCTTTAAAATTTTGGGTTCGCAAAAGGGGTGCGTCATCATTGACGTCTCATTTTACATCATGCGTCTCAATTTAAAACGCACTATAAATGACATGCCTGAGATTCGTTTGGGTGTACTTCCTCTCAGCAAGTATATGGGTCTGTCTCAAAAAGGTATAATCTGATGTTGACCGCTCCTCAGGTCTCCACCGACGATTCATCAGGACGAGACCCAACCGGGACACTAGGGAGGAACGGTTTAAGCAAGGGAGGCTACATATACGACAGCTTCTTGCGAACAAGCACCGAAAATAGATAGATGGTGGGTGTTTCATTTGCTATGCCTTTTGGCGTGCACATTATGTTTGTTATGTTTCAAGATTCTTGCAGAGTTCGGTTTCAACTATTGTAAAATACCGAGCATGCGCCCAAGTCGCAGAAGCGCGTACCCTCTGATTCGGAACGATCCGCAAATAAGCAAAGGGCATACCAGACACCCATCCACCTGTTTTGAGCCGTGCTCAAAATATTGAAAGAGCACATCAAGCGCCAGGTGCTGTGGCGTCTTTGCCACAATAGCGCCAGTCGCAGAGCTGACAGATCCGTGACTGGCGCAGGCCATGGCATGGCCTTTGGGAACCAGGGAATCGAGATTAAAGAAGTAGCGCAGAAATTGGATGCGAGTGGTGAAGGTGAGCAGAGTCAACAGAAAACAAGGACGAAGGGAGTTCCGTCGCATGAGGCATCTGTGTCCCGTGCATGTAATTTTGAGTGTGCTGCAGGTGGCTACCCCAAAAAATTGTTACTTGGACGTAACTAATCGCAAATCTCTCTTGCAGTTTCCATGGCCCACAAGCCAGCCGGCGCCAGTTCGTTCTCGTTCAAAGGTGAGGATTCTAGATTTTCTAGATTGCTCTGAAGCAGCAATACTGAAGCCAGACAAGCGGTACGGCATATTTAATTGACAGAACGACTGGGGACGCTTTCACTGAAGCTAAATTGAACGACATACTTGTTCTAAACAAGGGATTATGACGATCGACTTCATGGTTACACTTTTATTTTGATAGTACAAGATGAAACCTCTTCCCCTTCCCCGAGCAGGGGGATAAAGGACTAAAGATAGGTGTCGTTTGCGCATCGACACCTTCGGGAGAATATTTTCGTGTTTTTTTTTCAGTTTCAATTGAACTATTTGTAGAAAGTCATTACTTCGTGGTGTATTTTTGTCGTATTTTGCGCGCTTTTTCCATAACTTCTAAGAGTCTGCGATCTCATGAGGCAAATTTTTGTATTCCCTGATGACTCCTTAACATAAAATATATCGGTTCGATGTAGATATATTTACTGAATTAAATACTCTGTAATAAATTTCAGTAAGAAATACTCAAACTGGCTTTCACGCTGCGGAATTCTCGGTGTACGTAGTCACATTATCACGCACGGTTAAGTTTGATTTATGCGCGGAATATTTTTTTTCGCTGCTTAAGGTCACGCAACTACACAAACAAACTATATTAATATAAGAGAGATATGCAGTGCAGGGTAAATTGGAGACACAAGATAATACTTCAATTTTAAGGCATTGTGGTAGATATTAAAAGCTTGATTGTGTTCGACAAGGAGAGTCGTTGGGGTTTCAAAAGCGTCTTGTTCTCGCCTACTGAAATATTTCACGAGCTTCTCGCTTAGATCGTTATTAATGCATCTTGGTTTGACACGCCAAAAAAAATAAAAAACGGAGGTTACTCTTCAAGTTTGCTCTCCTAATAAAAGTGCGGAAATTTCTGATTCTGAAGAGCCTGGATTTTGTTCTCGGAGATTTCGAGGAAGTGGTGAAGCTAATACCTACATAGTGGCGCAGAAGTAAATAAATAAAACAAACGAAGAACCCAGGAAGCATCAAAGCTGCACTGGCGGTTTGAAAGGCACCTAAAATGCTGTATTCTGAACGGAAAAGCTTGGCATACTAGGTGCTTGGTACGTCCACCGCAGTACTAAATATGATATGGGTGTAATGACGAACGTGCTAGTGGAGTTCCGAAAAAAGAACGCACATAAGATTGCTTTACATATAAAAATAAACACAATTATAAATGCTATGAAACTCATAGTTCATTGGCTTGCCCTTAAGGGGAACTAAAGTGTGTTTCGCGATTGGCTTTTCATATCACAAAGTCAACCAACGCGCCCAGTAAGCATCGAAGAAAAACAAATCACACTTATTTGCCACCTTTTTTCAGGACATGTCCTTTGCTCTTATATCAATCCTGAAAGAAGAGACGTGCTGAGGTGTTTGGTCGCGTTATGAAGAAAAAAAAAGACAATTAATGATTGCAACTCTGAGTTTCCTAGGATTCTTAAAGCGTGTGGAATGAGGTTGCGCCATGAAACACAATTTCGAAATTCTCTGTGCCCTCCTGTATGCGTTGTCTAGTATTCTTTAGAGACACGAGATATAAAACAAACATAATATGAAAGGCTTAGCGCCCATAAAATTGGCACCGGCCGCAGCAAAGTTTTGGCAGAATATTTCGCTTTTTCTATGCCGCTAATCAAGCGGTACAGTCATTTTTTAAGACAAGATAAATTTTTTTAGTTGACAGCCTTAATGAAAACATACTTTTTAGGTCCATCTGAACTTTAGTATAAAGAATATGCCGATGTCCGAATTTGGTCCAGTGGCCAGGTATTTCGTGTGTTTTTTTCCAGTTTCCACAGGCGTATTCATAGAAGTCACTACAAGGATCCACGGTCTGGTTCATGCTGTCCAACATTATTTTAGCTGCAAAAAAATCAACAATAGGATTGTACCAATTATATAAACTGCGGTAATAAAAGGAACACAAAACTCCTTTATGAGGTGCACTTGGTCTGCACCCTGATCTATCGCAGAACAACAAGTATTATGCTACATAATTACGTCACTAACGAGAGAAACACAGCACGAGGTAATCAATTAAGATAACCAAAAGGTAACAACCGGAACAGAATATACTTTTTACGTATTCAATTCTTAACGATTCCTTGCGAACTGTGATTGACTTCGGAGGGCGGGGCGAGAAAGAGGGTGGGGGGGAGAAAACAAATCACTTCATTTGAGAAAAAAAAAAGTGTAAACAATATAGAGGAATAAGAGAAAAATATCGCTCTTCTCCCCACACCTCCACCGTCACCACCCTTCCCTTTCACCTTCTCCCGAACCCAGCGCCTCTGATTTTCACCAATTCCAACCCCACGTGCGATCCTGACATAATCCAGAAATACCTTGAGCTCAACACCCACTTTTTATTTATTTCATTTTTATTTATTCATTTCACAATACTGCCAGCCCCTTCAAGGACCGAGGCAGGAGGGTGTAATACAAACACGGAAATCAAATACTACACTGCTTTCAAATATCAACATTCAGAGCAATCTCCAGGATCCGCACCACAAAAATATACACCTCAAGCACCGCTTTCAATATCAACCTTTGGGAACCTCACCCCAAAAATATGCCACTCACAGATACACCCACAAGAAGGGTCACACTTACAGGTCAAACAATAGGCTTATGGCATTCTCGAATTCAGAAAGGGATTCCAGTGCAACGACACTAGCAGGAAGTTTATTCCACAACTCTACCGCCTGAACAAAAAATGACTGTTTAAAAATATTTATACGGGCATCAATAGCGGTTAAAACTTTCTGGTGGTGCAGGCGATCTAGCCGGTAGCTTTTCGGCTTACATGTTTGGATTTATCAATTCTAATAATGTTGTATATTTGAAAAAACAATTTCAGGCGCTGGAACATTCTTCGGTTTTTTAGTGGCTGCAAACCAGCCTGTCGTTTCAGCGTCGTAACAGATGTAGTACTCCCAAAGTCAGAAAAGACTGAGCGCAGTGCCAGTGACTGTTAGTTTTCAAGCTCCCTTGGAAGTGTGACCTGCCAGGGATCCCAGACTTCGGATGCGTACTCTAGGGTCGGTCTTACTAGAGCTTTATACGCAAGTCTTAACCGAAGGAGGTGTCCTAAACAGCCTTCTTCGCAGATACCGAAGTTTTTTTATTGCCTTGTTTTTTTTTTATATAGTCCACATGTTTGTTCCATTTAGGTCACTCGTGATAATCACGCCCAAGTACTTGTAGCTATCAACTTTGGAAAGTTTAACTGCATCAAGCTCATAATCAAAACACAATGCATTCTTTTTGGTTGTAATATGCATGTATTTAGTTTTTCCGGTATTGATTTTCATGTTATTTTCGCTGCACCATGCCGAAATATCGGATAAGGTGTTATTCAGTTTAATCTGGTCATCCATGGAGGTTATAGGAGTGTATATTATGCAGTCATCAGCAAACATTCTTATTTTTACTGGCCCGTTACTGTTAATAGTAAACAAGCTGTTAACGTATATCAGAAAAAACAATAGCCCGAACACAGAACCTTGTGGAACCCCTGAATATACACTTAACAAGTCGGTAGGAGTGCCACCGATATCTACAAACTGCTGCCGATTTGTAAGCTATGCTCTTATCCATTTTATTAATAATGAAGGAATACCGAGGACAATTAGTACATTAATTAACTTGTGATGAGGTACGCGGTCAAGCGCTTTTGATAGATCGATGAAAATGGCGTCCACTTGTAAAGGATCATATGATGAAATATGAGTTTAGAAAGCCAAATTAACATATATACATATAACATATATGATGAAAATATGAGTTGACAAAGCGAAATTAACAGTAAACAAGGCAGTAGTAACTCCAGTAGTGTAATATGCCAACTCAGAAAAGAAACAAACAGAATAAATGATATAAAACTATTGTTTTACAAGATGGCAGAATGAACTGTACTCAATAGGTACGGCAGGTGGGGTTTCACCTTTCACTTGTGTAAACATTCAAACATCACGGCCTTAATTTCTTTATTTAGTCAGGGGCAATGTTCAACCGACAGACAGGCGGGCAGCAAGCATGATAAAGGCCTAATTATCTGACAGAGCAAAACATAATTTTGTTGCTTCCTCGCATATATAGAATAAGATATTATTATACGATACGATAATAAGATATAAGATATCGGCTAATAAGTTATATATATATATATATATAACTTATTAGCCGATATCTTATATATATATATATATATATATATATAACGGGCATGGTGGCGGGAGGCCGAAGGCGTGGGTATAAAACTGAGAAGAAAAAAACCCTTAGTGAAAACAGCAACAACGGACGATTTAATCTTCGACATTTCGGCCGGAGTCCGGCCTTCGTCAGGAAAACGAAGGCCGGACTCCGGCCGAAACGTCGAAGATTAAATCGTCCGTTGTTGCTGTTTTCACTAAGGGTTTTTTTCTTCTCAGTTATATATATATATATATATATATATATATATATATATATATATATATATATATATATATATATATATATATATAGATATGTATATATATATATATATACAGGGTGTTTCAGAAAACTCAGGACAAATCGCTCCTGCGAAAACTACTCACGGCAACGAAAAAAGGCTTGTGTCGTTTTGGTCCTGGGCCAGGGGCTCATTTAGGAAAATTATTAAAGTCCGACATGCTTAAGTTATTAATTATTTTTGCGTAATTAACTTTTTTAATATTGTGTTTCAGGGCATGGTTTCAATTAGAAAATGGCTCAGCATCGTCGAAAAACACTAAATCAACAAATTGCAGAACGTTAAAAGGCGCGCGAAGCATTTTACGGCTTTCTGAAAAACCGCACAAATTTGACGGGTTTTTAAGTTTCGGTTTGTTATCGGAGCGCATCTGGGCCCAGGCGGTACCGCGCCCCGTGGACAGATAGTGCAACCAACCTCTGCTGTGCTGTCATCGCGCGACGCAGCAGAGGCTGGTTGCACTATCTCTCCACGGGGCGCGGTGCCGCCGGGGCCCAGATGCGCTCCGATAGCAAACCGAAACGTAAAAACCAGTCAAATTTAGCCGAAGCTCCTGACGAAGCCGAGCCTCTCGGCGAAACTGTCGAATTACATGCAATAAACTCCTAGCATAGCAACTCCGCAGGTACGGATCTCTGACTTGTTATATATATATATATATATATATATGTATATGTATATATATATATATATATATATATATATATATATATATATATATATATATATATATATATATATATATATATATATATATACATGACCACTATATAAATATAAATATATAGTGGTCATGGTGGCATAGGAGCCAAGAGGCCGAAGGCGTATATATAACGAAGTGAAAAACTCACGGTGAGATGGTGAGAGACGAAAAACAGCGGAAGTTTAATCGACACTTTCGCCGTGAGACTCGGCTTCGTCAGGAAATGACTTGCAAGTTATCTCCTGACGAAGCCGAGTCTCTGGGCGAAACTGTTGATTAAACTTCCGCTGTTTGTTGTCTCTCACCACGAGTTTTTCACTTCGGTATATATGATATATGATATATATATATATATTATATATATATATATATATATATATATATATATATATATATATATATATATAAACGAATAAATGAATATAAACGAATATATATAAACGAATAAACGAATATCCTGGCTCCGCCAATTTTTGGCTTTCGGCGGGTTCCTGAAAAACTCGGATTCTTTAATTCATTGGATTAAGTACGGTTCATTCATCTGCACATATTCGTTTATATCCCCCTCGGAGACCACGTACGATGACGTGAAGTGCCCGTGTTGTATATATATATATATCTATCTATATATATATATAATTAATGGAATAGTTCGCAGTTAAACGTAATCTGCAAGTTTTCACCTTTTTATCATAGCATTCACGAACCATTTTGTGCAGTATATTGACTTTTGCTTTTGTCTTATACGTCCCATTTTAGTACTGTGAACAGTATCGTGTTAAATATTTCAAGTCTTTTTTTACACCTTCCTTTCAACGGTACTTTATAAAGCGTAAAACGCACCCAGTCTTCCCCTGGATGCGATATAGGAGGCCGACCACATTGTAAAAAAATAAATATAAAAGATCCCACTAGATCAGAAAATTATTTCGCTCCCCTCATTGGCGACCTCTTATTGTATAGAAAAAGACCAAAGCCCCCGGATTAGAATAATAAACATATTTATTGTGCACTCAATCCCCAAACATTAACCTTCGTCAGCAATGGTTAGGAAGTTGAATTCTCAAACTTCCGAACTTATACATGCCCGTGGGAGTAGCTCTTTAGCTTCGTTTTGCAACGACGAACAAGCGCTACCGTTCTGAATGCTCATGTTATGTAAGAAAATATAAGCGAAAACTACGTAATTTGTAGAAAAATATGTGTTTTTTTTTAGAATAAATTGACCCAACGCCACTGTATTGCTACAGACCTTGATTCTGCTCCTCTTTTTGTGGTTTGGCAATGACACATTCACGGTGTGGTGGATTTTCGCCGGGAGGCTTATCTTCTTTTCTAAGCAGTCATTCGATGCTTATGTCTGGTGCATAATTTCTTTCAGTCTGTTTTTCACAAGCATTATAGTTATCATATAACCATATTTCGCGTATATTGAGCCACGGCACTACTACTTACAACAACCGGAGCGTTAGCATGAGGTGAACGAAGAGATTCTCTCTAATCTAAAAGGGGTACTGCGGCGATTTTTTTAATTACCCCAACTAGCTATAATGTCGGAATCACCTGCCTTTGGTATCGCGAAATTCAGAATAGTTATTGCGAAATCGGTCAGTGAAAATGATGTGAAAACTAACAATCAAATATACCCGCGCTTTTTAATGTCATGACGTCAGGGAAAGGCAGGCTTGCAGGTCGAGAGGGCAGCGTAAATATGGACTATGCCGAGCATTCGTTTCCTGCTGCAGCGTGGGTGCTGTAGCGAGCTTCCAAAGCATTCATTGGACACCATGAAACAGCCTGTATCCAGTTTCGAAAAAAAGTCTACAGTCCGAAGACTGAATTTCTGCCTTCCACCTACGTCCCTTTTTTCTTGCTTCCAGTAGAGATTTTCACTTTGAAAAACACGGTCAGGGCCAAAATTGTGGTATCCATAACTTCGCAAAAAAAATTTTTTGGCCCAATATTCGGGTTACTATTTTATCGACCTTTGCTGATATGCTTAGGAAAACTTAAGGCAAATCTAGGACTACGAAGAAAATGCCTAAGTACCCCTTTAGCAGAGGCACCAATGTTAAAGTGTAGGCTTGTTATGATAGCGCGGTCTCTTCAGGGGTGCTTGCTCATTATTTGTAACATAAAGAGCAAGGGACCACGCAATTCTGATTTTATTGATTACCTAAATAAAATTTAGAAGGCATCAGCAAACAGCGTAATGAATACCTATATGACTTTCGGAATGTGTGGTATTTCTAATCTATTCAAGGAACGCGTTTTTTTTTTTGTTAGTAATTAATTATTAAAAAATTCGTATAGTAATTAAACTCTTTAAATTAAAATATTATTAACGTCAGGGAATATTTTTATTCAAAGCTTACACTTGTATGTGTCAGACAACATTACTATTGTATGATATTAACATATTTATTCACTTATGCATAAAGAAAGAAAAAAGTGTTCAATTACACGTTCCAAGTTATTCAAGTACCTAAAGTAGGGTATAAAAGAGAATCACCTAGGTGCAATGGTTGATTAGAAATTTATTTATACCCGGCGACAACGAAGTTAATTAAGTAAATACATTAAAATAAAAAAAAAGTTATCCACATGTCTTCTTTCCTCGTCAACGAGTTTTAGTAGAGTTTTCTGTGGGTAATCAGAATCAAATCTTTGAGACGCGTGTAGCAAAAGAGGAGTCTCATACAAAACATAAGAATACAGCTTATACTGGTTAGAGACCGCGTGTGCCTCCCCCTTTTTCTGCGTCGTTTTTTACTTTTAAGCAAGAGTAACTTCCTGAGCACTGTGTCAGGGGATGGTAGCTCTCGGCACCAGGTTGTCGACTGTCAGTTTTAATTAAAAAAAACAACCTATCATTGAAAGTACACCGCGAGCATCAATCGTACATCCTTAGAGCATTCTTTAAAAAAAAATCTGATGCCAAGCTTATGGTGCGCGACATTATCCTACTTAGATGAGGGTGAAGGGGTGGAGTAGTTTTTTAATAGATGATTTCTGAAACTAGTAAAAGAGATGACAGATTTCTAAAATATTTGGGACATTAAATGTCGGAGCATTTCTGGCTTGTGTAGTTCAGAAAGATTAGGTAGGTTCTCATATAATTTAAACCATGCAAAGTTACGTCGTTTCATCGTTTATTTAGTTTGATTCAGTAACGATTACTAAAAACTTTGGTCTGGCATTCATTTTGGAGAAATTTGTGTATCTAGCCGTCATTTTATATATAGCGAGCCCCTTCTGCCAATGGGCGAAACCGAAAATATTTGTAGTTCGGAGCCTTCTGTTTTTTCGCACCGAAAAAAGAGAACGGGCAGATAATTAAGTCTTAACATCATTTAACAGTTTCTTCATTTGATCGTATCTTTTCCAGAAATGACTTACTTGCATTGCAATTTAAGCGACCACAGTATAACACGCTGTTATCTTACAGGTTGAAAGTAGCAGGCTAAAAGACCATTCTAGAAAGCCTCCCCCCCCTTCCTTTCCACTCTAGAGAGCGGATGTTGAAGAGGAGGAAGCCACAAATGATGGCGAGCAGAAAACATTTCAGGGAGTGGCTTGTCCTGCTATTCTAAATTTGCACCAGGCTATAGAGTACAAATACCTAGTTGGCAAGAGCGAAGCCCTCCAAATTGAACATACGCACTGGGAGCGGGTCTGCGGTAGCCCTATATACAAAAGTCACGTCAAACAACAAAAAACTTCATTATTTATACGCCTGTTTGCATTTTACTTGAAAGTTTAGTAAACTACACCCGCCTTACTGTGCTTAAATTATCAATGAATTGTGCACCATGCGTTTTTTGTTGTTTTTTGTTTGTTACCATAATCAAACAACGCATGCATGCGTTTCAAACGGAAAATTTTGTAGCGAAGTAAAAGGTCACAACGAGTACTTAGACCCATTCTTGCTTAACCATCTGCAGCTATGAGTTCTATGTGTTTTCTGCACTGAGACTTAGGTCCAATGTGTAACATATAGTTGGATGGCTACCTTAGCTTTTCTAAAATACTTCGAGTTTAACTGAAGTGATTTCAGATATATTCATTTGGATTCAATAACCCTTATGGGCAAAAGAAAAAAAACCCAAAAAACGGGAGTTTGACTTGTGGTTAGCGGGGCTTTTTAATCCTAGCCTCAAAGCATATACGAGCTTAAGTTGTTCCAGCTGCTCCAGCTTCTTGTTTCCGTTCATGCTAATGTAGTCATGACTACTAAATTATTGAAGCGTGAATGAAGAAGAAAATATTAAGTCTACAAAGACGTGATAGTCGCGTCGTCGGCACTGCGCTAGCGCCGAACGCTAACCGCGTTTTGCACTTTGCGGGCGCTATTCGAGCGTACGTTATTTATTTTTTTTTGAAAGTTCGTGTGCACGCAAAGAGTATGCACGCTACACTAAAGGCGAATTCGTGATAAGCGAGAAGTTGGCTAAAGCCTAGACAAGCACAGTTAGAAAATAACGGCTCCCAGGACTGCGGTGGTGGCCGCTTTGGTGGTCGTCTTCAACGCGACGTCGGCCGTATCCTCTCGACTCTAATTTTCAGTACAGGACGACATTGTACAACTACGGGAGTTGCACGTCATGGACACGACTCGACGGGGGCATGCGGCGAGAGTGCGCTGCGCCATCAGCAAGAAAACACCTAGAATGGGAGTGTTCCAAGTACTTCGAAGCCCGGCAACATGCTCATAAAGAAATACCGCGAGACCAGTGGCCTTCTAGCTTCGAAGAGCGGATTTTTCCACCGAACGCGATGCCCAGAACGGTGCACCTCCTGTGGCGACAACTGTACCTCTACATCAAGGTCACCGGAGATCTGGAGGCCTTACTATCACACGTTTAACCTTAGTTGCTGATGCCTTAAAACGTACGCAGCCTTAACATGGTAAAAAAGAAACAAAAACAAAAACATTTAGGACAGGACAAAAAACACGTTATGAACGGTTTGGAAGACCCAGCAAGGTGCGCAACGATCGCTGGCCATTTGCAGCTCGAACGTTCATCGATAAACGTAAGGTGTTCGAACGTGCTGAATGTTGGAGAAAGTTGCCGAAACGACGCAAGCGGACACGAGCTGTCGACCGCCCGAGTCGCATTCTCATACTTGAGCAAATCTAAAGTGTTGGTCAGGACCAAAAAAACATTTTTTTCTCAAGTTACATTATTTGGTGTGTGAAATAAAAAGTGTTACTGTGTCTTAAAGGCGGTGCAAGCACACGGTGTTTGGGTGCTTTGGTCGCGTCGGGGAAGAGCTATTCTCAAACTGTCTTGCGTGGTGTACCTTAACGCAAGCGCTAAATTTAGCGCTAACGTGAGCCTAAACTGCGCGCGTCATTCTAAATAACTTTCAAATAGGACGCATGTTGATATATTACGGACGCCCTATCAATCAGAAAATTGTTCACACACAAACGCTAAGTACTTTTACGAGTGCTTCAAGTAGGTGACTTCATCACTACTTTGTTTAAAGCACCCAACGTGATCTGCTGCTCCAATAAATTGTCAGTTACGTAGTTGTACTGTTGAAAATTTGGCGAGTTGGTCATGCATTAAGGAACTAGAAACAGTTCGAAGACGGACGAAGGACGATAAGTGCCAGTGGCATCTAAGCATTCTCACCTCTTTCTTTGCAGGCTTCTGTTTCACACACATTTTTGGGGGGCAAATCTGGTACAACTTGAAAGGAAATGGAATTATTCATGTTGATATAAGATATGAATGATTTTGTTACTAATATCTTTAATTATTTAGTTTTACTCATAACATGTTTGAGGTTGACAGGCATGAATTAGTTTACATTATACGATACATAAGGCTTCAAAGGATACTCTGACTATATTACTCACCCAATACTGATTTTGCAGCGCTGAGTTCAGCTAACAGCAAAATCAAGTAGAATCCCCCGATTGCCACCAGCTGCCGATCATGAGGAAGCATGTACTTCTGCCTCGATGACCAAGGTGTACTCCTTTTCATGCTTTCTGAAGATCACAAAATATGTTTGTTAATCGCATATGAAAAAGAGCTGTTTTCACCGTGAATAAGTTTTTATTTAATTACTCTTTGAAAGTATTACCATGTAAATGGTGCTCTTATCGTAGTGCTCCTACATTATCGTGGTGCTCTTACATTTGTATAGTGTTGTATAACACTTTCCGAACACTGATAAAGCCGTTATAGTCCTCATTTCTCGTGGGTGGCACTAAAACACTCGCCGGACACAATAGGGAATGTCAATTTTAAGCAAGTTTTTAAGTTTAGTTGTGTATCAGCGAGACATGGGGAGCTAAAATTAAAACACGAGCTTTTCGAATGAGGCTTCATTGCAGATCTCTAGCAGTCTACTTTAGAGTAAAGACTAAACATGCTCCTTTATTTGAAAGACCTAAAAACTACCTAAAAGCGCTGTGAAACAATCGACCACAAGTAAAAATCAACGAAACGCTGGCCAAATGCTGGCCAAATTCACTGGCCAAATTCGACATGTGAAAATCATAATCGATCGTTCCCGTCTGAATGCAGGTTATTATTTATATAATAGTTTATCCATGTAAAACCAACAGGATCAGCAATATATTACATGGAGGTTGTAAGCAAATCACGGGTAAGTCTAATAAAATGCCACTAACACGTAGAAAGCAAGACTGATTCCTTCAGCAACGTGCCGGCTCTCCCAAACGTGTCTATGGAGCAAAATTTTAATAAAAAAAAAACAGGAAAGTTGTTTTTTCTCGTCCGCATTCTTTCGGACTATTAACCTCTTGTGCCTTGTTCCACAATATAATGATTTTATAGAACAAGAATTCGCCTACGTGGCTGAGACCAGAGACAAGATAGGGGAGGTACAAAGAGGCACGTCGAGTTTCACAGGTAATTTCATATGGAACCAATTGCGCTAGTGACATCGAGCGATGCCAAGGATATCTCAACATCATAATAGTAGTAAAATTTACTGTAGCCCAAATTCCTTGTCATTATTTCTGCTTATATTTGACAACGGAATTTACACCTTCTGGTAGAAGCATATAAGAAAATATACGCTTCTAACAAATTGCACACAGGTAATTGGTAAGAATCAGTGTTTGGGAAGCTTGGTAACGAATTATAATCTGCAAAAAGACACAACGATTTGCAACCTCTTGTGATTGCTCTTTCACTTCGTCAGCACTTACTCGCCAATATGGGAAAAGTCATACATACGCTTGATCATATTATCAAGTTACTGTAAGTTCAGGAAGGCTTTTTTTAGGCTGACATATAAAACCAGTCAATAGAACCGCCCGAAATTTAAGAGCTCGTGCGGCAGCAGTTTTTCGAAACCAAGCCTAATTATACTTCACAACGGCCACTGAAAGACATACATTAATGTAAATAAATGTAACAAGATATATGACAGTCTGTGTTAGAGTAAAAATTGTCGTAGTTGCTTTGTGAAAAGACCAGAAAAGGTACCTAAGATGTGCCAGGTAAATATAAAACCCTATTATGTTTCATTTTCAGTACCCGCACTCTAAGGGGGAAAAAAATGAGGAAAAGGTAGGAAAGGCGCGTTTTCCTCCCTTCTACTGACGCGTCCCAAAGCGAACACGAGAAGAAGGGACGAACGAGGCGTTTTTGTCCTTCTCCAGGCAGGCGAATTAAGAGTTTCGGCCCTACCGCCTCTCCTTCTTTCAAATTCATTTTTCGAGCATATCGCGCTCGTTGTTTAATAAATGTTGATAGTTCACTGTGCTTCAGCGCCAGTGAAGCATAGTGAAAACAGAACCGAACTGAGCCTGTGCTCAGTTCAGTTCAGTTTTCCAATGCCGAGTGCGAACCGGCAGTCAAGGCGGTTATGTATTTCTGCGTGTCAGCAACATAGTAGCAACATCGCGATTGCAGTGTTGTGCGTTTCGAACAGAATACTGGAATTCTCGTCGATGTGACCCTTTCTGCGCGTATCTGTAATGTAACAACAAGATGGGATGACGGAAACTGTCGGGCATTGATGCCGCTGGTCGGGCTGTGATCAGAGGGGGCGGTGTGTTGCAGGTTTACATTCCGCTTTACATTAAAGAGCTTTAAAATTGCTTGAGGGATTGCGTTTCGCTGAATCGACCTGCTTATAGTCATGCTGGAACGCTGGTCTGAACCATAGCTGCAATCGAACAGTGGCTAATTCGACTGCAGTCTGCGATGTTCTGTTGTCTCCAACCCGAGAGCGATTCCGCTCTGTGGACAAAAACTGAACATTATGGAAATGTTACAGAAAGTACGTTTACTTACAGTTTGGAAATTTAGGATTAAGAAGATATGGTTTGTAAAATCGCCCCCCCCCCCCCACACAAAAAAAAAGGCTATTCTTTATTTTCTTTTTTAAATATAATGTGGCTCCTGGAAAAACTGCCTTCCGCGTGGAGCGCTGGGATGAGCGATAGAAGTTTTTGAGCTCACCATGGCGTAGCTCCGTACACTTAAAGGGATACTGAAGCGAAACTTGAAATACACCTATTATGGTCAGAAATAGGTTCAATATGATCAATGATATTCATAAATCATAATCGCGCGTTTGTATTTTGAACGGATGGATATATTTTTCACCATGATGGGCCCGATTGGGCGCGCGCTCAAAAATCGGCCATCGGAGAGCGCGATGCGTCTTGGGATATTGGGCGCATACGTGACGTCACTTGTGCCGGTCGGGAAAGGCTACGGCGTGAATGTTGTGGTTACGAGCGTTGCCACTTGGTGGCGCGACGACGATTTACGACCTGTGACAACGTGGCCGTTTGAGATGTGCAAGGGCTGCACGCACGCTGCACCACGGGACCACGGCAAGTCGGCAACCACGGCAGCACTGACAAAACCAGCTCTGAGGCCGGATTCTCAAAGCGAATTCTCGACGAAAAAAGTGCGTACGACAAATTTGAGAGAAAACCCGTGCTGTCGAAACGAAATTGTCGTAACCTTTGCGCAGGTTACGACAGAATCCTACGACAGCTCCGAAGCTGTCTTACGCACTTTTTACGATCAAATCAACAAGGCCGACAGCGTCGCTCAGTTACTTGGTATCGGCCACCAACGGACATTTATTTTTCTTCGTGCTCTTCTCGTGCGTCCCGACTTCAACCAGCAAGAAAAAAGGAAGGAGTACTTAAAACAGACCACGACGATCAAGAACGCAAGATCCACAAACACACGAGAAGAGCTACAACAGCCACGATTCTGCCGACCGAGCGAGCTCGGCAGAATATAGTAGGCCTAGCAGCAACATCGACTCGGCGCACCGTTGCTCCGGCGGTCCTTGGCCAAGACCGTCTGTCCATGACCGGCTGACCTGCTGAATGGAATATGCCCGCGCGACCCTTGTGGACCCTTACCGGATGAGTAGTTTGATCCCTGAACTAAATTTCAGAGGTCAATATTTTCCCCTTGTCATCTCGATCTCCTTGTTTTACGAGACAGCGGTGACGAACGCTGTCGTCGAAAAAGGACTCTCATTGATTCTATCTCCTTGTTTTGTGTTATATAGAGATCAAATAAACGCCATACGGATTACCTTGGCAACTCGGTATGTACACTCTGTTATTAGTATGCCATTTTTATTCTGACTCGACGCTACGTCAGTGTCGAGCTATAGCAGTTCGTGGGAGCTACGCGATGTCGGTCTAACCTTTCTTTGCCGAGTGTCACGTCAGTATCGAGTTGCAATCGTAAAAGATCGGTCCAGAAGCGCTTACCGAAACGCGGTCTAACAGAGCGAATCCAGCACTTCGATCAAACGCGCGTGTCCGCTCTGAGTGTGAACAGGTATTTGGCATTTGCGTGGCTCTTGCTGACACCCTCGTAGTTCAAACATATCCTTTTTAACGTCGGCTTGCAGCTCGCGACTCGCAGCAACTAATACCGGCCTTGCCAGAAGCATGCTCGGGCCGTGTCGTGCAAAGAGCCGCAACGAGAACGAGCTCACTGTGGCCAACTACGCTTTGGCTTTCTCCGCCAAGGCTTTGCAAACGCGTTCAGGCCTAGGCGAATTCTGCCGGCACGCCGTATTGCCGCAGAACGGCGCTGCTATTTTGGCACAAGTGATGTCACGAGAACTTCCCCCCATCCACCAGATGAGAATTTGAAATCGTTTAATTATGTTTAAAATTAGTTCTCCTGTGTTTTACAGCGCAATATTTATATTTCCGAGGTGGTACCTGTCCCTAGCCCATATTTATGCAACAAGATCGGCGCTAAAATTTCGTTTCACTACCCCTTTAATACCCACAGCAAGTCGCGGCTTTGACTGCATTCAAGTTGATCGAAAGCGATTTCTCTGTCCGTGAAGCATCGCTTACAGCTGAGTGAATACCTTCTCTGCAGAGGTTAATTCAAGACGACGATTGCAGCCGCACGCGAACAACACAAATAGAAAACTAAATAATAGAGTAGAAAAACTGGCCACGACATGCCCTGCGGGGAACCAGACAAACGGCTTGGGACCGGATTGGAGCGGCTTGTTTTATTTGCTTTCAAATATTTGCGGCATGAGCGTTTACTTTTTTAAAATGTTTCATCCCATGAGAAGCGCAATAGAATCTCAAAAGTTATGACGTTACTGAAAACAAAAAAACAACAACAAAAAAACTTTTAGCCTTTTTATCTTGGTGAAGAAGGAAGAGCAGACAAACTGCAGCTTCTGTTCTCGGCGGCGGCTTTCGAGGCGAGCGATGTGCTTCTCTTTCGCAAGAGAATCTGAAGCGCTCGACGCAGTGAAACTCGAGGCGACAGCGGCTTCGCGGCGGTTGCGGACCCATTTGCGCAGCTGCGTACGTCGCCGCTCCTTCCGCACCCGGTCTTCTTTCCCCGAAGAAAGGGCACGCGGCCGACCCATCGTGAGTCCAAATTGCAAGTGACAAAAACGTAGAAAACAGCGTGCAAAACAGACGAGGACGAGGAATAAACACATGGGAGGAGCTCGGCGCCTGTCAGGTGTGCTTCTTCTTCGTCTT